CTTGGACTTTCCACAGGGCAGGGAACCCTGACTGCTCTTTGGATTGGAGAGGGAAGGGGAGAGGAGTGGGGGGAGGGGAGAAGAGTGGAATGAGGGGGAGGGAAATGGGAGGCTGGGAGGAGGCAGAAACTTTTTTTTCCTTTTCTCAATAAAAAAAAAGAATCAGTAGCCCTGCTACACACAAAGCATAAAGAAGCAGGGGGGGAAATCAGAGAAATATCACCTTTCATGATAGCCATAAATAGTACAAAATATCTCAGAGTAACACTAACCAAGGAAGTAAAAGATCTATTTGACAAAAACTTTAATTCTTTGAAGAAAAATTGAAGAGGATACCAGAAAAATGGAAGGATCTCCCATACTCTTAGGTTGGTAGGATCAACATAGGAAACATGGCAATTCTACCAAAGGCAATCTATAGATTTAATGCAATCCCCATCAAAATCGCAACAAAATTCTTCACAGACCTTGAGAGAATAATAATCACCTTTATATGGAAAAACAAAAACCCAAGATAGCCTAACAATCCTACACCCAAGAGCTGCCCAATCATACTACAAAAGCGTTTGTTCAACCATGTTCCATAGTAGCATTATTTGTAATAGCCAGAACCTGGAAACAACCTAGATGTCGCTCAATGGAAGAATGGATAAAGAAAGTATGGCACATCTATACATTAGAGTATTACTCAGCAGGAAAAAAAGAATGACATCTTGAATTTTGTATGCAAATGGATAGAAATAGAAAACACTATCCTGTGTGAGATAACTCAGACTCAAAAATATGAATATGAACCTGTGTCCAGCAATGGATGGAGATAGAGACAGCGACCCACTCCGAAGGACTAGACTGAGCTCCCAAGGTCCAGTTGAAGAGCTGAAGGAGGGAGAATATGAGCAAGGAAGTCAGGACCACCAGGTGTTGGTCCACCCACTAAGACAGTGTGCTTGAGCTAATAGGAGCTCACCAAATCCAGCTGGACTGGGACTGAACAAGCATGGGATCAAACTGAACCCTCTGAATGTGGCTGACAATTGGGGGCAGACCGAGAAGCCAATAATAATGGCACTAGGATTTTTCTCTACTGCATGTACTGGCTTTTGGGGATCCTATTTTATTTGGATGCATACCTTCTTAAGCCTGGATTGAGCGGGGAGGAACTTCGACTTCCCACAGGGCAGGGTACCCTGCCATCTCTCAGGACCTGAAAGGGAGAGAGGGAGGAAGAGTGGGGGAGTAGAAGGAAAGTGGGAGGAAAGGAGGAAGAAGAAATTTTGATTGGTATTATTTTAAAAGTTATTTTAAGAAGCTTTACAGATATACAATAAATAAGGAGATTCAAACAAAAAATAAAATAAAATTTAGGAGGAAATAAAAAAAAGTTGCTTTATTAAAACCTGAAAAGGCTTGGAAAGAAATTCTAGACACAAAAGAACATATTCAAGCATGGCTTCTTGGTAGTCAGCATTTTGGGGGGCTCTGGGCTCCATTTGCTGATGGTGAGCAGGGACACCATGGATCCTTTAAAAGAGGTCTTTCTTTTATGCCACGTCAGCATTGGCAGCCAAGGCTGTGAGGCTTCTTCATTTTTCTACATTCTTTATTCTTCTACATTCTTTACTCTTCCAGTTTTCTTTCTTTAGCTGTTACAAATTCCCAAGCGAATATATAGCCATTCACTAACAATTTGTTGTTAATGAAAAGCTACAAGTGAGACTCTTGGGGACACAGGTATTCTTTGAGATACATAGAAAATCTTATCAATTAATTTATATCTAACTGCAGCTGCAGCTATGGCAACGTTCCAGCCATCCAGCTGTCTCTTAAAGAGGCCGCTATAGGTTACAAAACAAACAAACAAACAAAAAACACTGAGAGATCTAAAGAAAAAATAAGAATATGTGCATTATTTTACATTTCTTAAGTGTGATTAATAATATCTGGACATGGTTGGTCAGTTAGGTGCTATTCATCTCTTCAAGAACTATGATACTCCAAAGATAGACACTTGCAATACCACACTAATTCATCAGAAATCCTGAAGGACAAGATTTGGCAAGGCCAGACACCTGCAGTTCCACTCTGTGAAACTTCCTATGTGATCTCTTCAGAAGGACTTCCCTCTGGCCCAATCATCCTGTCAGGGAGGTAATTATAGAGAACAGGCTTCTAAGTTTTTCTTTTTTATGGCAGTTTGGGACAAAAGGTTTGACTGTCTTATTTTATTTGTGAGGATATACAGTTTGGGGAAAAGTCATCCTACTAAGAGAACACAGGAAAACTGTGCCCAACATATAAGGAATACACTGCAGGGGAGATAGCCAGCAATTACAAAGGCAGTGTTTTTCACAGGCCGTGACAATGTGAATTTAACCCTCCAGCGGACGCTTAAGTTTCTGGTGGGTTTACCTTCTAAATGTCAGGTGATCTACTACATAACCTTATGTATAACAATAGAACCTGGCTGAGCAACAAACACACACTAAGCCCCAACTGTCTACAAGGTTCTATATCCTGACACATAAGAGTCTTCCGTTCTACTTAATATAAAAGTTGCCTGACCTTCTGGGCAAATTTCTCACGGTAGGGAGGGAAGTGGTGGTCTTTTCCAGTCAATCCTGTTTTTAAACTTTCCATCTACACAATGGTTTCACTTTCCCATTTACACAAGGGTTTTACTTTTAAAGTAAAAATGAAACAACTAACATACTACAAGAAAGATAGCCATGGAACATGATCAAAGGTCTTGGAATGGAACAAATTGATGTTGGGCTTAAGTACCAACACCAAAACCAAACCAACCAAATCAACCGAAAGCAAAAAGCAATGACAAAAAAATAAAAAATAAAACAAACAAACAAACAAATACAATCAGGCATGTAGCACAGGTATTTAACCACAGCTCTCAGAAGGCTGATGCAGGCAAATCGAAATTCAAGACCAATCTGGTCCACAAAGAGAGTTCAAGAGCTGCACAGAGAGACCATGTATAAAGCAAAACAAGCATCAGGAGAGGTTCTACTAGTTGCCAGCGGTTCAATGAAAGATATAGAAGGTGACTTCATACAGGGCAGCACCCCTGATAGAACACGAGAATGAGATCAGACTTTCTCAGCAAAAATTTGAAATTCTTTATTGTTTTTCTGTCCTAAAACTGTTCTCTGTGTGTGTGTGCACAGGTGTGAATGTGTTTACAGGTGCATTTAGAGGTCAGAGGGTGATGTTAGATGTCTTTATTTCTGTCTACGCTCAAATTTGCTTTGTTTGTTTTGAGACAGTGTCTCACTATGTAGCTCTAGCTGTCCTGGAGCTTGGGCTATGAAGTCCAGGTTGGCCTGGGATGGCCTGCCACTGCCTCCTAATTCCTGGCATTAAAGTCATGCGCCACATTGCCCAGATGCACCCGATTTCTTGAGACAAGGTCTCTCAGTGAACCTGGAGCCCATGGTTTGGGTTTGGGCTAGACTAACTAGCCAGTGAGCTCCAGAAATCCTTCCATCTCCACTCCCCAGGGCTAAGTTTACAAGTGTATGCCATCACACCAACTCTTACATGGATGCTGTGGGTCTGAGCTCATGTGTTCTCACGTTATGATCTCCCAGCACGTGCCCTTCATATTTTGCCTACCAAGAACGAGAAACACTCTAGAAATGACCGGCAATTAGACTTCTGCTTTTATAAGAAACTACATCTGCTTAACATGAAAACTGTTACAAAGTTTATTCTACACAAAGATTGAGGCCTGTCCTATTGTGTGGCCTCCAAACAAATTTCTCTTGAAAGTGGACAGATGTCTTCCCAGTGCTTTCCTAATTCAATTCCTTTTGCTTTCAGCTCCTCCTTGACACGCATCAGATACTGAGGATCGGGGTAGCCAGAACTGCATGAAGAAAAAAGAATCCTGTTAGCTTCCTCCCAAATAATTCTCAAGAGTCTGTACAATAGCCGGGTATGGTGGCACCGGCCTTTAATCCCATCACTAGGATGGCGACAGCATTCAGATCTCTGTGAGTCTGAAGCCAGCCTGGGCCACACAGTGAGACCCTGCCTCTAAACAGCAACAACAAAATCTGTACAGTTTACATCTGAGCATCTAGTATTCTGGGATCCAGCATCCTCAGGCAATCAGACAGTGGCTGGTATCTAGTCACTGAAGTGCCCAGCTGACTGACCAGCATCTGTTTTCCACACATTGCTTAATACCTTAGCTCATTCCAAGTACTGGTGCACATAGTGTTATGTTCTACAGAGAAGGTAATCATACCATAGTAGGACTTTCAAAATGGGAAACTTGACAAGGTCTCAGGATAGTTTTCTTTTGGATGCCACAAGTAGAGGAACTCTGAGATTTATGAAGTATAGTCAGATTTCCTGGAAACATCTCCCACCATCTTGGGACTCTTTATAATGAAGACTTTCTTCCTATCATGTTTCATCCATGTGAGTTTAGCCTCTTTGTGGACAATGGGAAGATAGGGGTGAGGAAGAATAAGAGGACCTTAAAAGAAACCAAAGCAGGGCTGGAGACATGGTTCAGAGGTTAAGAGCACTGGCTGTGCTTCCAGAAGACCCTGGTTAAATTCCCAACACCCACATGTCAGCTCACACCTGTCTGTAACTTCAGGGAATCTGACAGCCTCACACAGACATAAATGTAGGCAAAGCAAAAATGTAAATAAAAACAAATAAACATTATTTTTTAAAAAGTCAAAGCAAGTATTCTTAGTATCTACATTTCAAATTGACATGAAACACTAAAATTAAATCAACTTGGGCACCATTCATCTTGGGTTCTGAAACTCCAATTTTGATGCATTTTGGGGGGCATAGAAACAAGGTTTCTCTGTGTAGACCTGACTGTCATGAAATTCTGTCTGTAGACTAGGCTGACCTACAACTACAGATCCACCTGCCTCTGTCTCTTGAGTACTGGGATTAAAGGTGTGCACCACCACTGCTCAGCTTTGATGCAAAATTTAATAACCAAGTCAGACATTATAAATGGCAGAGTAGAAGGTTGGAGGGATCAATTTTTTTTTTCAAGACAGCCTAAAACTCAGATATCCACCTGTCTCTGCCTCCCAAATTCTGGGATTCAAGACATATTCTACCACTACCCAACTCAAACCATTTTTTCTCTTTGAAGTTATCATTATAGATTAGTATTTTTCTTTCTTTCTTTTATTTTTTTTTGGTTGTTTGAGACAGGGTTTTCACTGTATCTTTGGAGACTGTCCTCGAACTAGCTCTTGTAGACCAGGATGGCCTCATACTCACAGAGGTCTATCTGTCTCTGCCTTCCCAGTGTTGGAATTAAATCATGTGCCACCCCACCACCTGGCTCATTTTCATAATTAGTGATTGATGTGGGAAGGGCCCAGTCCATTGTCAGCGGTGCCAGTCCTGGGCTGGTGGTCATGGGTGGGTATAAGAAAGCTGATTGAACAAGCCATGAGGCATAAGCCATGAAATAGCATCCCTCCATGGCCTCTGCATCAGCTCCTCCAGTTTCCTGCCTGGTTTGAGTTCCTGCCTCTCTTCCCTCAGTGACTATGACTCAGGAGATGTAAACCAAATACACCTTTTCTTCCCTAGGTGCTTTTGGTTATCACAGCAATAGAAACCCTAACTAAGACACTGGGTTAACATCTACTGCTAGAATGCCTTTTCATACCACAGCCTCAAACCGCAGCACTTAACACCCCGTATACTTTGTTCAGCAACCATTACATTTCAAAGGGCTCTTACTTTCCTGGTCCTCCAAACGTGGATGTTTTATGACTGATGCCATTCCAAGTAACAACATCAGACACTCCTGGTACTCGAGAGTCTTGTATTGTGAAAATCAGCCTTTTGTTAAAGGCTTCTCTGAGTAGATCCAAGACGTATCTTCCCTCCTGATTATCAGGCAAGTATGCAGTTCGTCGTGTTCCACGGTAGGGCTTTCCTGGGTTAGGGTGCTCATCCTGTATGAGGAAAGGAAAATGTTAGATAAGAAATGGCATGCCTCTGAAATCTACTATACTAAAGGTGTGTGGATCATAGGTGAAGTCTACTGAAAACTAGGAAGAAAGTGCTATTTTGCTCATATTCTGAATAATTCATAGTTCTCCTCTTCAGATTACAGTCATACCCACCCAACTTGACCCATCCTAACATATGGTCTCTACCTTTAAAAAAAAAAAAAGACATGAAAGTCTAGATGCGCAGCTTGACAGTGCTTGCTTGGCATGCACAAGGGGCTGGGTTCAGCCCCAATACTGTTGAAATAGTTGAAAAGACATCCAAGTTCTAAGTGAATAGTATAGCCTCTAGTTATTATGTGCCTACCACAATCACTGAATGAGTTCCCGGGAAAATCGGCATCCAAGAGGCTACAAAATGACCCCTTTGGTGCTGGTAACTCTAGCAGAGTCAAAAGAAACTCACATTCCCTGGTACACTTACTGTTTGGATGCCACTTTCTATAATGTAGTAAATCTCAATTGTGCTACAGTCTTCATAACCCGGAAGTGACTGTCTTAAAGTGGTGAAAGTCATGGTTCCATCTGGCTGGTTCCCTTTCTGGATATCGTAGGACGTCTGACACAAAGGACAGACAGGCTTTAATGACAAGGCCTTGGTGATACAAGAGGAACAGAATTCATGCTTGCACTTAGGGAGCACACGCTTGTTGCTAATAGTATCCATGCATATGGCACAGGTATCTTCGTTATCATTCATCTTCGAGGACCCAGAGCTGTCAGCAGAGCCTCTGAGAGGAGGTGAAGCTGCATTTGTGTCGTTCCTGTCGATATCCGTGGGTGTTTTGTGATCCTCATTTAATCTCTCCTCAGACAATGTGGACAGTCCCATGCTTTTGAAGACGTGCTTCTTTTTCTCTGGAGGCTGGTTAGGCAAATCAATTAAAGTCATTGACTTGATATATCACAAAGTTTGTATTTGGGTGCTTTTTTTTTTAAGTCAAGAGCACTGCTGCTCTTCCAGAGGACCTGAGTTCAGTTCCCACAACTATCAGTAGTGGGCTCTGATGCTCCTTTCTAGCATAAGCCCTACATGCAGGTAGAGCACCCACTCATACACTAAAATAAATAAATATTTTAAAAAGTGCAATCAAGTTCCCTTATCATGAGGCTCAAAAATATCAGGTGAAGTTCTGCACTGGATTTAAAATCCTATACCCTGTCTCACAGTACCCTTTCCTGTCCCTAGCTCTCTCCCTTGCTCACTGCCTCCCCCTCCTCTTGCCTCATGAGCTTCAGTTCCTGTGAGGCCTGCGCGTGTGCTTCCCTCAGCCTAGAATGTTCTTACTACAAAACCAGGAAGCTAGAAAGGTCTGAAGTGTTCCCATTTTACAGCTGGGCCTGAGTTTCAGTTTCCTAAAAGGACAATGAGGGAGACAGCAAACACCAGACCTGAGGCACTTTCCACAGTACCTCAAAGCAGTGACCAAAAAGGACAGTTCTAGTAAGCTCCCTTGCCCAAGTATGCCCCAAAGGGTAAAACTATAACCACAGCCAATTAAATTTTACTAATGTAACTGTTGCCTAACTAACCAATTATATTTGAAGTGACCTAACTGTCACCAAAACTCCCCTTAGCTGTGCTTAAAAGGAGCCTGCCTGCTCCCCTGGGGTTGTTGCCATTTTGTACAGCTGTTTGACCCCACGTGCTGGTATAGCAATAAATACTCTTTGTTCTTGCATGCTGTTTGAGTCTGGGGTCTTCCTTCAGCATTTCCTCAGACCCCTACACTAGGTCCTTTAATTTACTCATGGTCTCTAGATGAAGCATCATGTGGGTTTGTTTGTTTACACCCTGTTTAGAATGGTGGCTCTGTCACTGTTCTCTTCCTCTTTTATTCTTCCCGCAATTGTCACTGGAGAGAATTCTATTATACATCTGTTTACTCTTCTTTGTTTCCCTTACTCGATGTCAAGGCCCTAAGAGCAGTCCAACTGTGTCTGTGTCCCCAGCCCTATGACAGTGCCTGCCACACCTTAAGCAGTACCTGTCTATTTGTTGAATGCATTTTTTAATGGCGGGTGCCTTATCATCTAAACCTCAGGCTAAAATGTCACCTCAGCAAGAAGGTCTTTCATCTTCCTCTTGCAAGCCTTCACCCTGTTCCTCTTAAGAGGCAAAACTACATTTTCTTTTTATTCTCCTACCACATCTCTCTCTTTGAAGTGCTTTCCTTCAGTTCATTTACCTGCTTACAGTCTTCGGGTCCCGTTACCCCAATACAGGCTGCATGAGGACAGGAATCTTGTCCCTGTTTATTCACCTTCGGTGCCCAGGACCTAGAGCAGCACCTAGCTCACAGCTAGTGCCCAGCTAAAGCCGCTGGACCAAAAGGGCAGAAGCGGTGACCACAGAGGCAGTTGTAGCAACAGTGCCAGCTCCTCCGTCAACACTCACCATCTGGACAATAGCGTCATCAGATTCATAACCCAGTGCTTCATCCAGAGACTGTGTCACAGATGGAGGTCTGCGTCTCTGGTCCGTCACTGGGTTTTTCGTGATTTTCACGAAAATGGTCACAGGTTTGCCATCAACCACCATCTGGTGCTCTCTCTTTTTCAGTACTCTCTTCTTAGCTTCAGGGGAGACATGAAACACACATTCACACAGTAATGAGAGAGAACTTACACATGACCCCCAGTGTCCTCTCTGAGTTGATTCTAGGAACTTCTGATGGCACCAAATCCAGAGATGTCCTTCATATGCTTAGGACTTTCACACTAGCTACCCATATTCTCCCATTTGGTTTTTTGTTTGCTTGGTTTTTTTTTTGTTTGTTTGTTTTTGATATATGGTCTCCCTATGGAGTCCTTACAGCCCTGGAACTCCCTAAATAGACCAAGCTGGACTCGAACTCACAAACTTCTGCCTATCTCTGCGTCCAGAGTACTGCGATTAAAAAAGGCATATGCCACCACACCTAATCTTCCATAGACTGTAGATGACTGTAGATGACTGTAATTGACTTTCATCCCTAATACAAGCACTCTGGAAATACATATTATGTTCTATTATTTAGTTGGAAAAACCCTGTGATGTAGGACTATTGTCTAAATTTCTTCAGGATCAAATCATTCTGTCCTGAAGATAAGCACCTAAAGACAGAAGGTAAACCAGTTAAAATAGCCTAAGGAAGACCCTGAAACTGACCAGATTCTCTAGGTTCCTCCCTACTGGAGTAATCAATAAAGACTGAGAGTCCCTCTGAGACTGGCAGAACAGAGCACAAGAAAGACTCAGAAAAGCAGCACTGACCCTAAGAGTAGACAAGCAGTAATGATGACACCAGGCCTGTAGCTGAATCAGAAACCAACTGAGTTGCCTGGAAGAGGTTTAGACCAGAGTTACTTGGAAAGGATGCTCTCCAACCTGATGAGCTGCCTGCAACCTATGCAGTGTGCTCCAGATTCACAGCTTTGTGAGCTAGGCTGGGCTCTGGTGATGCAGCTGTCTTTAAGTCATTTCTACTCCTGTAGAAACCCCTCACCTGAGCAGACCTGAACCAGAGACCTCTGCCAGACTGGGAGTGTAATTAGCGACCTCTCAGGTAGCAGGCCTGAGTGAGGAACTTCTACAACTCATAAGCACTGTCAGTAATGTAGCATGATACAAGATTAACTCAAATAATCAGTAGCCCTTCTTTACACAGATGATGATTTGTCTGAGAAAGAAATCACAGAAACATCACCCTTTCCAATAGGTACAAATAGCATAAAATATCTCAGAGTAACTTTAATCAAACAAGTGGAAGACCTGTATGATATGACAAGAATTTTAAATCTTCGAAGAAAGAAATTAATTAAAGAAGATACTAGAAAATGGAAAGATCTCCCAAGCTCTTGGGTAGGTAGAATTAACACAGTAAAAATGGCAATCTTACCAAAAGCAATCTACAGATTCAATGCAATGCCCATCAAAATCCCATCAAAATTCTTCACAGACCTTGAAAGAACATTACTCAAATTAATATAGAAAGGCCAAAAATGCAAGATAGCCAAAATAATTCTGTACAATAAAGGAACTTGTAGGCATCACAGGCCCTGACTTCAAACTCTACTACAGAGCTACAGTACTGAAAACAGCCTGGTATTGGCATAAAAACAGACAGGAGGACCAATGTAACCAAATTGAAGACCCAGATATTAATCCACACAGCTATGGAAACCTGATTTCTGACAAAGAAGCAAAAAATATGAAACGGAAAAAAGGAAGCATTTTTACTAATGGTGCTGGCATACCTGGATATAAACATGTAGAAGAATGAAAATAGATGCACATCTATCACCATGTACAAATTTCATGTCCAGATGGTTCAAAGACCTCAACATAAAGCCAGCCACAGTGAACCTTATAGAAGAGAAAATGGGAAGTACAGTTGAACGCATTGGCACAGGAGACCACTTCCTAAATATACCCCAGCAGCACAGAGACTGAGAGAAACAGTTAATAAATGAGATCTCCTGAAACTGAAAAGCTTCTATAAAGCAAAAGATAAGGTCAACATGACAAAACAACAGCCTACAGAAAGGGAAAAGATCTTCACTAACCCCACATTAGACAAAGGATTGATCCTCAAAATATACAAAGAACTAAAGAAATTGGTCATGAAAAGAACACATAATCCAATAAAAAATGTAGTATAGACTTACACAGAGAACTCTCAACAGAGGAATCTAAAATAGCTGACAGGCGCTTAAGGAAATGTTCAACATATTTAGCAATCAAAGAAATGCAAATCAAAACAACTCTGAGATTCCATCTTATACCTGTAAGGATGGCCAAGATCAAAAACATTGATGCTGTAAGGAAAGGGGATAACTCTTGCATTGCTGGTGATAATGCAAGCTGGTACAGTTCCTTGGGTTATCAATATGGCAATTTGAGATAAAATTAGGAAACCACCTTCCTCAAGGCAAGCAATACCACTTTTGGGTTTATATCCTAAGGATGCTCAATCATACCACAAGGACATGTGCTCAACCATGTTCATAGCAGCAATTGTTTTTCATAACAAGAACCTGGAAACAACCTAAATGCTTCTTGACTGAAGAAAGAACAAGGATAATGTGCTACATTTACAGAATGGAGTACTACACAGCAGAAAAAACTAATGACATCTTGAAATTTGCAGGCATATGGATGCATCTAGAAGACATCATATTGTGTAAAGTAACCCAGACCTTTAGTAATGAGGCAAGCAGGCCTGTTTTTCATCCTGCCCAGCTCCTGCATGGCTATCTTAATACCTGAAATAACAACACACAAATTATATTCATTTAAACACTACCTGTCCCATTAGCTCTAGCCTCTTACTGGCTAAATCCCACAACTTGATTAATCCATTTCTATTAATGTGTGTACCACCACGAGGTAGTAGCTTACCGGGAAGATTCTAACCTAAATCCATCTTGGGCCAGAGCTTCAGGGCAACTGCCTGACTCTGCTTTCTTTCTCCCAGCATTCTGTGTGGTCTACCCCACCTATCTAAGTTTTGCCCTATCAAAAAGCCAAGGCAGTTTATTTATTAACCAATGAAATTAACATATAGACAGAAGACCCACCTATATCACAGATCCGGGGAGAAAAATATCATATGTACTCATTCATAAGTAATGTTTAGACATAAATCAAAGAAAACCAGCCTACAATTCATAATTCCAGAGAACCTAGACAACAATGAGGATCCTAAGAGAGACATACATGGACCTAATCTACATGGGAAGTAGAAAAAGACAAAATCTCCTGAGTAAATTGGGAGATGGGGACCACAGGAAAGGGTTGAAGAGGAGGAAATAGAAAGGAAGGAAGGGGAGCAGAGAAAAATGTACAGCTCAATAAAATCAATAAAAAAAAGAAACCCCCTTACCCATACTCCTGTAAGAAACCCCAATAAAAGTCATTGGTTGACCAAGTTGAGCTTTGGTCTGTTGTGGGCTCCCTATCTGAGGGGAGTGAATTTGTGTGTTGTGTCTCCCCAGGAAGAGTTTTGTGTCCCAATAAGAACAGAGGCCCTGAGCAGTTGTGTCTGGCATTCTGGAATAGCAGGTTGTTATGAAAGAAAGTTATTCTGAACTCAAAAGAAGGCAGCATGAGTTTTACTGTAGAATATCATTTGGTTATTAGAAGCCATGTTTCTCCTCTGAGCACAGTGCTATACACCTGGAATCCTAGCAATTTAACTGTAGAGGTAAGGGTAAGGGGATCATGAGTTCAAGTCCAGCCAAGAATGCATAGTGAGACTGTCTCAAAAGGGGTGACGCCAAACCTATGCTTCTGTAATGGACTCGAATTCTCATTTCTATGACATGAAATAATATTTCCTGTATAGTTAAGTTGGGAAACCCCTGCAAACTAATAACCCCAAAGCTTAGAATGATTTAAATGTACAAACATTAGCTGATTCACAAAAAAGAATACATGAGAATG